ATCAATACAAAATGACCGTTACAACAACTTACATACGAAGAAACCTCCTAGAAAAACCCAAAAAAAAAACACAAACTCATCCAATTCCTATCTTAGCTAATTCATCTGCTTCACAATTCACAACTCTACTGACATGTCTTACAATGACATTCCTATCTACTACCAAAGACCCAATTTCCTTCACTAGCGAACTAAATAAAGCAGGACAAGAACCCGAATCTTGATCCAATCTAACGCTTTGTTGCAATCACTCTCCAAAAAAAAGTCTTCCCCTTGAGTTCCAATTCGAATTCATGAAGAATAATATACTTGCTTTTATAGCCAACAGTTCGGCCAAAATTGGAGGGCACAAACCAACACTTTCAGAAAATGTCCCCAACACTGAACCATCTTCATCCCTTAGTAAACTACCTATTCTCCCTTTAGCCCGAAACTTATCCACAGCTCCATCTACATTTATCTTGAAGAAACCCTTAGGAGGAGGGCACCAAGACACCGAGCTAGCGCGAGTTTTATTACAACACACCCATGAATCAGCTAAAGTAGGATTACCCACAAGACAATCGAAAAGAATTGGGATAGCAGGAAATTTCGCCAAGAACCAAGAAACCAATATGTATCTTGTTAAGAAAAGCAATAGTGTGTTGTCTAGCTTCCTACCTTTAAAAATTATCTCATTCCTATACTTTCAGTCCGACCATAAAATCGCTCTTGGAATAAACACCCAATTTTTTGAGGCACTAGTAGCATCCAAACTGAAACTAGAGTAGCCGAACTTTATGGAGCAGTAAAAGGGACTTCCTACATCTTCAAAAAAATGGACCATAATTTCCAAACTATCGAGCAAGCCACAAACAAATGAGAAACCGTATAGGGGGCAAAGGTTGCTCACGATCCCGGGGACTCTACGTTTTAGCAGCTCAACTTTAACTCCTACCTTCATACGCAAAACTTACCAGACAAAAACTTCCACCCGAGGAGGGCCCCCCCAAGCCATACAAGATTTGACCAATCTAGCTCCACATTCTCTTTCTCATTTAATAATTTTAAACAAGATTTAATGGAATAAACGCCTTCTCCATTTCCTATCCACACAAAGTGTCTTCCAATGAAGCATCAACATAAAACTTGTAGAGAATAGAATTTAATTCGAGACAAAGCTCCAACTCTTACTCCGCAAGGTTTCTCCTCACCTGGATGTCCCAAAACCATCCTGCCTGCCTTTGTTTTCTGAAATAAGAATTTCTTCCCCATTTGTTAACCGAAAAAGCATACATCCTTGGATATCGGTCTTTTAAAGGCACGCTCCCTACCCAAACATCATGCCAAAAGAGTATATCATCCCCTTTATCCACTTTTAAACGAAAATGCTTTCTGATACAATCCTCAAAATCATCCTTAGCCAAGGACCTTTTAACCACCCGTTTCCAAATCCAAGAAGCTTTACAAAAACCTCATCTCTCGACTAAAATTGCCCTCGGATCCACATCGTTCTTGCAGCAAATCACCCTTTTCCACCACGAACTAGATTCGCTTACAAATCTCCACGACCATTTACCCAAGAGCGCTCTATTCAACAAATTAAGATCAGTAATCCCTAAACCGCCTCGCTCCTTAGGCTTACAAACAGACGACCAATTGACCCAATGAATCTTTCTCTTATCATTCGAATCTCCCCATTAAAATTTCGTCATAATTGAATTCAGCCTTGATAGGACACAAGATGGAAACCTGAAAATAGACAAAAAAATAAATAGGTAGTGAACATAAAACCGATTTAATCAATACCACCCTCCCCGCAAGAGAACGGGAAGCTGCTTTCCAACCCCAGAGCTTCTTATAAAACCTCTGAATAACCGGTTCCCATAGAGCCAACAAACTCTTCCTCGCTCCAAGGGGTAGCCCTAAATAGTTTGACGGAAGAGAACCCACTGAACAACCAATCGGGTTACACCACTCTTTCAAAACAATAGCTTTCGCATTAATACCAAAAATTCTGCTTTTTGACAAGTTTAATTTCATCCCAGACGTCAACTCAAACAAGAAGAGAACCCTAAACACAATCTTTAATTCCCCACCTCTCCATTACAGAAAATGACAAAGTCTTCAGCAAACTGTAAATGTAACAGCATAAAGGAATTATCCGAGTCGCCAATCTCGAAACCCCTAGAAATAATTTCATCCCAGACGTCAACTCAAACAAGAAGAGAACCCTAAACACAATCTTTAATTCCCCACCCTCTCCATTACAGAAAATGACAAAGTCTTCAGCAAACTGTAAATGTAACAGCATAAAGGAATTATCCGAGTCGCCAATCTCGAAACCCCTAGAAAGCCCAACATTAACCGCCTTAGTCAGCATTAAACTCAACACCTCTCCAACCAAATTGAATAGCAACGGAGACAATGAACAACCTTGACGAAGACCTCTAGCAATCGAAAACTCCTCCAAAGGATCCGAAGGAGACTCGTTCACTAGAACAGAGATAGATGCCGAAGATATACAAGATTTTATCCAAGAACACCACCTTTATCTGAAACCCATATATTCCATTGTTTTCAACAAAAAATTCCAATTTACCGAATCATAAGCTCTTTTGAAATCAACCTTAAAAACAATACCTTTTCGACTTTTCTTCCTCCAATTTTCGATTCCTTCGTTTGCAATCAGCGAACAGTCTAATATTTGCCTTCCTGGAATAAAAGCAAATTGAGAAGTTCCAATTATCGAATCGATGCACACCCTTAACCTTCTCGACAACACCTTGGACAAAATCTTGTAAAGTCCTCCGACCAAACTAATAGGCCTGTAGTCTTCCACACTAGCCAAATTATCCTTCTTGGGGATGAGGGTTATAAAGAAATGGTTAACGCCCTTTTCCTATTGTTTCCCCCTGAAAAATGGGTTTCAGTTGTGGATGATGACAAAGCACATGTTCATCAGTTTAGTTCAGTTTTCTGACAGTCATTTTTTCAATATTTTCCAGGCATTAGAAGTGATTGAACTTGATCAGAAAATACGACTTGTTGAGGAGCTTGACGATCATGTTATGAAATGTGTGCGTGACCAAAATGGGAATCACGTGATACAGAAGTGTATAGAGTGTATCCCTATAGATAGAATTGGTTTTGTTATTTCGGCTTTTCGTGGTCAAGTTGCAACACTTTCTACTCATCCCTATGGTTGCCGTGTCATTCAGGTAAAATTACATTTTGTTTGTTTTTCAAGACTTTGGCTGAACATAGTCTTATTTTAAATACCTTTTATGTCATGTTCTTATCATTTGCTATTCTTTTGAATTTATGATAGAGAATTTTGGAGCATTGTTCAAACGAACTGCAAAGCCAATGCATCATTGATGAAATTTTGGATGCTGCTTATGACCTTTCTCAAGATCAGTATGGAAACTATGTTACGCAGGTTCACTTTTAATTTCTGATTGTCAATTTATTGACGGCTGATTGGATACTTCCTATTAATGCTGTATTTGCATCTCAAAATTGAGAATTGTCTTTAGTGGGCGCCTAGGGCAACTTATTTGTTTTGCCAATTTGTTGACCTGCTGTCTAGTGAATGCAAATGACCATGTTACTCGGACTAGGGTGTGTTTGAAATGAGTATTTGTTCGACTCTGGTATATTCAATTTTCTCTAGGTTTTTCTATGTAGGAGGGTCATGTCTCTATACCCATTTCTGGATATGTGTCTAATTCAGGTGTCGGGCACGGTATTTCAAAAAGAGAGTTGGAGCAATGTAGGTGCTTGACAGATCTGTTACTGCTTTCTATTCCTTTTTCACTTCAAAGAAAGAAAAAATGAAAAGAAAAAGAAATCCTTTTTCACCTTTTTTTGATTAAGCTAAAGGTGATTACTAAGTAGTATCTGTTCTAAATACTCTCAACCATTTGACAATGAACGATCAATCACCCTTGTAGTCGCTGGTGCTCGAACCCGTTTCCATTTTTTGATGGCTCGTATATTGGTAGTTATATTCTGTGGAAGTTGGTGGTAGTGGAAATCTATCCTCCAATAATATTGACTATAGGAAAACTCGATAAAATCAATACCTCTTCGTTGGTTCCTAACTATTTTTCTTTTGTACTTTTTCACTTACCTTAGTTTCTGATCTCTTGACTGATTAACTTTCTGTTGCATTTTACTATTCATAGCATATTTTGGAGAGGGGAAAGCCGCATGAACGAAGCCGCACTATTAGCAAGTTGGCTGGGAAAATTGTACAATTGAGTCAACATAAATATGCGTCAAATGTTGTTGAGAAGTGTTTGGAGTATGGCGATAGTGCTGAACAAGAGTGTTTGGTTGAGGAGATCATCGGACAATCTGATGAAAATGATTCTTTATTGGTGAGTAGTGTAAAAAACATTTATCACAACCAACTATGCTCTTAGCTTCACTGCTCGGCAAGATCTACAACTCTTTTCTTATTTGATTTTTTCTTTCAACTGCTCGATAATTAGTTTCTCTCGAGTTTTTCCAATTTTATCCATTTTCTTTGTTCATTTTAAACCTTAGTGCTTCCACCTTTATATAATCTTGAAGATCTAACTGATATCTTATGAAACATTAAATGAATAACTGGGTACGAATTGAACCAGATTGTGCAGGGATGAAAATAATAGCCAGTTAAAGCAGTTTGTATTTGTTTTTCCCCTTGTTTTCTGTAACACTACATTCTTACTTTCCTCGGGGATCGATAAACTGCAGTGTGCTTTTAGATTGAGCTCTCTTCTGGTGCAGGTTGTCAAACCCTCAAACAATAAATAATTTCTGTTCTTTGTTTTTCCCAGAACTTTTTACAATTGTATTTGGTGTTATAATGCAATGCTTCGATTATGAATCATCGATGGAGGATGACTGTTTATGTTGAATACCTTTGTCCTTTTCTACTGTCATAGTTCTCTTTGACCTAAGTAAAAATGTACTACTCTTGGAAGCCAACATCTTTACTTTCTTTTCCTTTGGTTTGTCCCTTATGTAAATCTTTATGGACCTACTATAGAGATTACGACGCCTTATCGAGCATGAAGATTTAGGGAATGTTGCTAGTTTTCTGGTGTTTTTTCAACTTTCAAACGTATTATATTACGAACTGAAGCTCACGAACTTTTGTTCCGACTTTTCTATGGTAGACTATGATGAAGGACCAATTCGCGAATTATGTTGTTCAGAAGGTTCTTCAAGTAAGCAATGACAGACAACGGCAACTATTGCTGGATGGGGTAAGAGTTCATCTCAATGCTCTGAAGAAATATACATATGGGAAACACATTGCTGCTCGGTTCGAACAACTGCTTGGTGAAGGTGCGTGGATTTTCTATTCATTAATGTGCATAAATTTTGAGATCATAGATAACTTTCTCTACTTCCTGTCCAAATTAAGATGAAAAGTAGTTTGTGCTCTTGTTTATTTGGTTACAGGATATAGGTTTACTTTTGTCTTTGCTCTATTTCTGTTTTCGTGATTTTAACGAAAGCAGACGAAGTAAAGGAATGATTAATACTTGATCATTTATGCAGAAAGCGGTGCCTCGGAGAAGGCATGAAAGGTCTTTATCGATGTTAGAAGCTGGAACTGTTACAGGGCATCTTGATAAATAGCTACTTAAGAAGCTGGGGAATAAATGTATTACTGTATGTTTCAAAACTGTTTTTGTGTCTATGTATAGAAATTAAACAACTTAAAGCTTGCAGTGATTGCTTTGAAATTTGACAAATGCTTGCAGCTTAAAATTTCAATGACTAAAGATATTATTTTAACGTAGTATAGTGATCCTTATATGCTAAATATATTATTGCATTCTTGAATTGATTATTATTAGATTAAAATATTATGTTACATTTGATCAAATCGAATTGTATAGATCATTATTTTTAAATTAGAAATAGGGCAAATTATTTATTTGGTCATCCATTTATTAGGAATGGCAACGGGGCGGGTTTTGCTCGTCCCGTCCTTGAACCCGAAATGAATCCCCGACCCCGACCCGATCCCCGACGGGTTTTTTATCGGGGCGTCCCGTCGGGGATTTTTTTTTGCCCGTCCTCGAACCCGACCGAAAAATTATACACGAACTTGAACTCGAAAATATTTTATATATAATTAATATAAAAATATAAAATATTATATATAATTAATATAAAAATATAAAATATAATATATATATATATAATCGGGTTGGGGATATCTTACCCTGAACCCGATCCGAAAAAATCTCCGAAAAAAATCTTCGATACCCGACCCGATCCGAACTTGATCGGGTTTCGGATTTCCTGTCAGGTTCGGGTTATACTGACCATTTATCCTTTTTTTTTTCAAAATCAGAACTTCCTTAGAAGGGGTCAGGTGCCTAGCCCGCAAGTTATTTGTGTTAATTTCATCAAATTACTCCTAAAAAAACTTATACTAAAGTATCACTATTAAATAAATGATTTTTTTTTGAATTTGAGATTCAAATATAAGATATTTCACAAAATTATCCAAATGCTTAACCACCAAGCTAGGCTAAGAATTTATTTATGTTTAATCAAAATTATAACATAACTTATATAACTCTTAAATTAAAGATTGAATAATTTTAGATAAATATAAATTTTAGATTATTTATGATGTAACATGATTTTTTATTTATTCTTTTAAATAACTTAAAATTGATATTTTATTATAAATAAATAATATAAATTTACTTTTTTTAGAATGATTTAATGTTAATCTTATAAAAATATAATTAGTTATTTTCTTATTTTAAGTGGAAAATTTATTTAAATATTTAATTTAACAATCGTGTAAGTTAAATAATAAATTTGGTGCAATAAAAATAAATTCTTAGCTTAGCTTGATGTCTAAGCTTTTGGATAATTTTGTGAAATGTCTTAGGTTCAAATCTCAAATTCAAATATATATATTATGGTGATAATTTAGTATAGTTAAATATATGTTTTGGTGAAACTAATACAAGTAACATGCTTAGTCTAATGATTAGGTGCATAACCCTCTTTCAAAGGGTTAAGGTTTGAATCTCTATCCCAATAAATGAAATTTTCTTTGATTTTATTTTATGGGTTGAATAAAATCAATTAAAAATGCCATTAGGTTACTAACAATGAAAGAAAAAATATTTAGAAATTTTAAAAATTAAAAAATATCACATCGATGTTTTCGTTAATTTTTTAATATGTGATCACAATAGAAAAAAAAGTAATATTAAATATGGTTTTAAAAAAAATATTTAAATGACCAAAACAGGAATATAAGAATAGAGGAGTGATCAAATAAATAGTTTACTTTTAAAATAATAATTACATTTATTTTTTGTTGGAGGAAGAAATGAGATTGTGGTAGTTCTTGATGGCTCACCCCTTCTTATTTGTATGGAGAGCTGAAGAGGATAGTTCAGTGGAGGAGATGACCTAAAAAAGATGATAAAGAGAGTGTCACCTCCTTTCTTCATTATTGCACGGTCATATATACACATACCCTTAGTGTTGGTATTAGACCTAAGTTGATGATGGCTATTTATAGGCAAATAAGGTAGTAGATTTAGCTGGTAGATCATATGAGTCTTCTTGCGGTCACGTCAAAGGATTTTAGTTAGCCAGAGGATATGAAACTCCAGAAGTTTTAGGATTCAATAGGCGGAAGAATGGCAGTAAAGGTGTGACTCACAAACGAAGTCCGCAGAATGTGCGAAAATATCTTTACCTTTGTAGAAGTAATAAGGATTCCCATACTAAGACAAAGACATCTTAACACTCATAAAAGCAATGTAGAAATTCCTATCGTTGAACCAAAGGCATCTCAACACTCTTTTAAGAATTCCTTAAGAGATCACTATAAGATAAGCGAAGACATCTTGACGTTCTCTAAAGAAACGTTGTAAAAAAGGATGGAGGCATTTCAACACTTTGTGAGCAGAAATAAAAAGACTCATATTGCTAGAGCGAATGCATCTAGACTCTCTTTATCTAGATTATGATGAAACAACGAGGAAATTCCTTTAGTTAGAATGGAGCGAAGGTATCTCAACACTTTTGACTAGAGATGAGGCAACTCAATATCCTTAGAGAAGCACTCCAGAATGAGCGGAGACATCTTGATGATATTTAGATAAACATCGTAGAATGGACGAAAACATCTCCGCCTTGGTAAAAGTAATGTGGGATTTCCCCTCGCTATGGAAAAGATATATCGATGCTATTTAAAACACAATGGAGAAAATCCTATTGCTGGAGAGAAGGTAAATCGACCCTAGGTGAATTCTGTAAGGTTGGATAGAGGCAACTATATACCTTTGTAGAGACACTACATAATGAACATAGACATCTTGATGCTCTTTGGAAAAACACTATAGAAAATGGATTGAGGCATCTCCACGTTATATATGTATAACAATGACATCTCAACTCTCTTAGCTAGACGGTGAAGGAACAATAGAGAAATTCTTTTAGTTAGAGTAGAGCGAATGTATCTTAATCCTCTTGGCCAGAGAGGAGACATCTCGATCCCCTCAGAGAAGCATCATAGAATAAGTGGAGAAATCTTGAGGCTCTCTAGAGAAAAACTATAGAATGGATGGATGCATCTCAACTCTATATGTACATACAAAGAATTTTAACGTTCTTGAAGAGACAAGAAGAACTAGAACTCCAGAGTTTGCATGCATTTGAAATGATTCATTACTACCCAATATGTTAAAAGGAAGTTTTTTACAATACATGTGTAAGAAATAGTTCCCTCATAGGGTCATTGTGAGAGCTCTTCCTGTCATCATAGGCTAGACGTCTATTATCAAGGTGCAATTCCTTGTATGTCTGAGAAAGTTCCCTCATTGTGTCTTTGTTGAAGCTTTTCGAAGCTACTTTAGGTGATATAGTAACATTATGGTAATGAACATCCATTGTAGTAACATCCATTAGGACTCATGGAACCTTGACGGAGGTCCTTGATACCTCATAGTTCGTTGGCTCTACGAGGTAGATTGCGGGGGAGTTGAACTCTGGCCATTAATAGCTATAGATCTCATTTCCTCTACATCGACATACATGCTGGCTACCTCATACGTTTGGTTGAACTTTGTTTGCCCACTGTCTATCAAGGCACACTTCAAAGGCTCGTGCCAAAGTCCGTAGATGTACACGAAGACTACTTAATTATTCGAAAGGTCATGAATGTTGTGGGTAGCTGAAGAGAATCTCCTCGTATAGTCCCTTAAAAGCTCACCAAGTCTCTGGGCCACACTAAACATGCTGACCTTTGAGCGAATGATGACTCTGTTGGCTAAAAACTACCCAACGAACATATGAGTCAATTGTTTGAATTCCCCCATAGTTTCGGCTGACAAGGAGTTGTATCAATTCTTGGCTCGCCTTCACAGAGTAGTCAAGAAGACTTTACATTTCAGCTTTTCGAAGGCCCCATAATATCCATATAGTTTTTATACTAGGACACGTGCTCAATGAGGTCTCTAGTCCCATCATAAGTCTTTTTGGGAAACTTAGGGGCTATTTGTTTGTCTCTTAATGAAATCATTCAGCGTTGAATGCTGAATCGTTCAGCATTCAGCACGTTTGTTTCGCACCTCTGAATGATTTAGTGCTGACTGTTTCAGCACAGAAGTACATTCTGAATGATTCAAAGCCATTATCAAACAACATATCATATTCAGAGTTAATTCATTCAGAGCCTCTGAATCATTCAGCGCTTAAACAGCCCATTAAAGTGCGAAAGGTCGGACGTTGCTAGCATGAGAGGGCATTAGATGACTTTGCTCTTCTGTAGCCCAATCTCCTCTAGAGCTATTTGAAGCCTAAAGATCCTCAATATGCCTTTGCATGATTTCTATTCTTCTCCATTATTGTTCTCTAGTGTCAACATCCTGATATGCGATGTTTTACCTCCTTTGGTCAGACCCTAGGGGGAGAACTCTATCATCTGAAGTACTCAGACTAGCAGCAACCTGTTCTTGTTGACAACTCTATTTGGTATTGAAGGTTCCATCTTTTTCCTCCCATCGTTGCCTACTTCTTTAACGTTGGGAGATCAATAGCTCTTTAAAAGTTTTCTGGATTAACTTGTACTGTTTTTAGTTTTGTTGCTGCAACTATAGTTGCGGCACCTGTGAGGCTTGGAACTGTGCATTCAGACTTCACAATTCGTTCTGCAAGTTATAAACTTGTAGGATGTTTTGGTTATTCGTGTCTATGGGTTGCTGGTGTTACTTATGGGGTAATGTCAACCGGTTTGGTCATTTGTATTGTGATAAGATTGGTAGTACGCCAGGTTGTACACAATTTGTTGTTGTTGGTCGAAAAACCAGACACATCAAGGAGATTTTGGGAAGAATATGAGAGGTAAGACTCATTATTTTGTTCTTGGGATTCATCTTGACTGATTCTTTTTTATTGAGAGATGCTCTATGCTCATCACATCAATTGTTGAGCGGAAAAATAGAGTTGTGATTTTTTGAGATTCACTTTTTT